GTTTTTTTCCCATAAATTGGAGCAGAATTGGCAAGAATCTACAATTCTTGAGAAAATCCACAGTCCAGACTTCTGAAAAGCCAGGTGTCTCTCAAAATCCCAGCCCACTAGAAAGAATCCTGTTTTTTGGCAGAGGGCCAATGAAAGGGTAAATTTTACAATATTAAGTCTGGATCTGTTGTATACTTCATGAAGAAAAACTGAGAGCTTCTTTTGCCTGGCCCATAGTAAGCAACAAAGAAATATTTATTACATATCTGGATAAAACAAGCAAAAAAAAGTTTGTGCAAGATGCTAAAATATCAAAGTGCATCTTTTGCACACTCATGTTTTCCATTCCACAAGACTTATATCATTCTTGTATCCCTACGCAAGAGGTTCCACAGCAAAGAACTTCCTCACAAAAACCTCCTCTACCCAGTTGGTCCCCCACAATCATAGCCAGGCATCAAAAATTATTCCCCAGTTTTCTGCCAAAAAAAAAAAAAAAAAAAAAAAAAGCAAACCCAGTAAAGCAATAACACACACTCATAAAAGAAGAAACAAAATAATGGCAAAATCTCTCCCCTCCCCAATCCCAGATCCCACAGATCCTGGAAGAAAAACACTTTTGTGGCCTTGAACTAACTCATGCTACAGAGTGAATTAAATTTCTCGGGAATTTCTATTCTAGCAATTTTTTTTGTAATCCATATTTTTTCTAATGGTGGAGTATGTAACCAAGAGAAGAATTGTATCAGTATAGGATGGGGAATTTTGGACAAAAACACTTTCCTGGCACTTTTAAACTCATACCATGTAGATTTGTTTTTCTTCTTTCTTTCTTTGGCTAAAAAATGTTTCATCATTGCATTCTACTTGATTGTTTTCTCGTTTAGTTATTATCTTCCAATAGTGAGAAACTATCTGTACAGTTCAATTCTGCAACATATTATGTGCTTAATAAGCATTTGCTGCTAGCTAGAAAGCTTAACTGTAAGATAAATGTATATTTATAATAATTTTCTCACAAGTTCTTATGTTAACAGGAAAAACACCCATATCCCTAACTCATTTGCAGTCATGATCTTACCTGCTACTTACTAAATGAAATAAAAATTACTGTGTTTTATAGCAACTTTAATAAGTATAGCAGGATGTATAGTTTCTTACATGAAGGATGATTTCTAAAAAGTTACCGGGATAATATGTATAATGTGTTTCTCTATTTTTAGTCTACGTTCATATTTTAAATACCTTTATTTTGGTTCAGATTCCCAGTTTTTATTTCACATGGGAAATTTATTCTTCCAGAATGAAAACTTCATTCCTCCACAGTTTCTTAGCCATGCTGTTCTCCGATTTAAGTGTTTGTAGCATTGAGGCACAAAGGTTATTACTTAAAAAAAAAATATGAACGTAAAAAAAACAATTCATTGTGAAGACAGCTTTCCATTAATAACAAAAATTATTCAGCTTGTGATTTTATACTCCAGAACACTTTGAGATAATATTAATAATATATTTTCATGTATGTTGATTAGTTTAGATAAGTTTTCTTTGTATTTTTCTGAAAACCAAAATAAAATTTTGTTCATTATGTTTTTTTTGTAGTTGTTGTTGGTAACTAACCATCATTAGGATTCACTTTTTTACTTTTATATTTTTGTTGTTGATTTACAGCCTTTCAATATGTTTCTAACTCTCCTCATATTTGCTGTTTGTATCTAGCTATACAGCTATACAGCTGAGCTATATACAGTAGTGGAGCCGTATTCTGGACAAACAACAAAAATCTGATTATGGTTCAGATCTTCCTATCAACTCCATCCAGTGAGACAGCACAGATCAAGTGGCCAGAGAGTCCTAGAAAATGCACAGGACTGGCATCCCATGAGGGATTGCCCAACAAGGTGTTTAGAAATAGAAGGCAGCTTATGCCATGATTAGTTCAAAGAATTCTACAAGCCTTGATTGACATCAGGTCCTTTCTCTCCCTGAGATAATTAAAGAATCCATGTATATCAGTCTCAGTAATCTTACTGACTTCCATGTCAGGCAAAGAACCAACCTACCTAAGGTCAACTCTGCCATCATCTCTTAGGTTCTTTCTTTCAATCCATAGCATCTCATGAATAGAAAAGGCTAGATTTCTAAATACAATTTTGAGGCTAGATATGTGGTTCAACATTATGGTGTATTATATCCTATTATCTTAAAGTTCTAGAGATGTCCACAGGACAGTAGGCTGTTTTTGCCTTTAGCCAGATAAAGGGCGATATTTAAACAATGCCAGAGTAGGCAGTTACTACATGTTGTGATTGGAAGGTTTCTCCAGCCACCTGTCACAATGGTGAAACTTTATCATTAGGGATCCATTTCTCTGGAGAAGGTCTGGCTAGACTACAGACATTCTCTCGTACAATACAGAAAGCTCTGATTATAGCCTTGAGGACTGTTAACTGAATTATGATTTGATGTTACTTCTAGTTGAAGTTTTGACTGAAGAAAGGGGAAACGATATTTGAATCAGACCATAGGGCAAGATCTTGGTCACTGATTTGGATCAAGTATTTTAAGAGAAGTGGATTAAAGTTTTCTTTAAATAATGTTCTGTCCTCTTTTGATACTCTTAATTCTAAAACACACACACACAAAACAAAACAAAAAACAAAACAAAACAAAAACTGGAAGAAATTTTCTCCAAACGATATCTCAGTCTAGCGGTGACCTTTTTCTCATTTATTTTGTAAATCCGTTTTTTGACTATTTGAACTCTTCTCTGTTTTCCCTATTAAAAAGCTTTGTTACACCATTCATTGAGTCATGAACAAAAGTAATCGTCTTTTTTCTAGGAGCTGGTGTTGAGCAATGAACAAGACATCCACAGTGTCTAATCTCATTGGCACTTAAAGTCTGAAGGAGAGGAAAAAAAATTAATGACAAATTACATTGTGGTGTGAAACATGCTGAGCCAGAAATACAGAATACAGGAGAGAGCATAGAGTGTCAAGACAGCCAGTGGTGAGGGAGATGTCCACATTTCCAAGATAAAAGTTAAAGGATAAAGGTAAATTAGCCAATAAAAAGAAGATAGCATGTTTGAGGCCAAGTATCAAGAGGGCCATAGTGTATGTTTGGGAATGAAAGACAAAATTTCTCTGTAGTTTGAGCTACATTTCCTCAGGAAAATGAATACTCACGAGTATTTTAAGCAGAGAACCATGATTTCACTTTAGAAAGAACACACCATAGCTACACAATGCATAGCTGCATTGCAGATGGGTAATGACAGGGTAGGATACCAGCCAAGAGCATGTACTGTTTTTGAGACAAGAGATGGTAATGACCTCAAGAGAGGAATGATAATGGCAATTTGGGAAAGAAAAGATGGAATCAAGAAATATTAAGAGGTAAAAGAATGGATCAGGAATCAATCTATTAAACACAAAACGGTGAATGACATGGTAGAGAGGAAGAGGAAATATTCAGAATTAAGCCTAATAAAGGCAGTGAATAATCATAAATCACTGAAATGGGGGGGAGTCCAGATTAAGAGCAAAAGCAAGCTTGAGAGGTGAGAAGTAGGTGAGAAGGGGACACAGAATATGCCCATATTTGACCATGCTGTTGTTTTGGTTGCTGTGGGATGTCCAAGAAGAAATGTCAAGTAAGGCATTATATATACACATGCAGAGATCGAGGGAGAAATCTGGACTGGAGACATAGTGTTGAGAGATGGGAGTATAAGAGGGCTTGGTGAAACTAAAGCTGTGGGTGGAACGAGAGGAAAGGAAGGACTGGCTCAAAATTGTGAAGGTTTACTGTACAGATAGAAATACTGAGAATGTCTTCCCACTCCTGCTGCAGTGCCTTGGTCCAGATCTCTTAGCCTTATTCACTGTGTTCCAAGTTGGCCTCATTAAAGATAATGGTGTCTCTAATACATTTTAAGCTTCAGAGCCAACATATGTATTATTTTTTCCTTTCTATATTTTTTTCTTCAGGTACAGTTGACACACAATGTTACATTAGTTTCACGTATACACCATAGTGATTTGACAAGTCTGTATATTAGGCTGTATTCATCACAGGCAGGATCATTTTTAAAACCCCAGTCATGGTCTGTGGGAAGGATAGTTCTCTTGTACCAGCTAATCACGTCTACACATCGTGTAAGAAATAAAAATGCTTGCTATGATGCATAGCTTAAGGGATTCTCAGTAAATTGCTTGTCCCATTCCTTACTTTAAGAACTCTTCTTTTAAAGGTGAACAGATCCTTGAAGGGAGATTGTGCAATCTGTGCAGCATGCTATTTATATTTGGAAAGTGTTAAATTATCCTAATCATACCTGTAGTAACAATCAAGATTAATTGTGGCTATATTAGGGTTACTTCTTATTTGTTCCGCCTCAGCAGTAACACAGAACTACTGGTACACGTTATTTCTATAACCCAAATTGTGAGAGAAAACAAGGGGGGAAAAGCCCATGGAATATGGGTAGAAGTCATATTTCAAATAAATCCATAACCAGATGGTTATTTGAAATTCTCTTTTTGAAAAGGAGCTGATTCTGAACAGATTGTCTATGTGTCTCACTGGTAGAAGTGGATTATCCATCTTGAATTGGATTGTGATGACGATGACCCTATTCTAAGTAAACCAAATCTCTTGAACTATATAATGAGATCAGGAGGAACATTCAGCCTGAGAACGACAGATTGCAGCTACCAAGATGCTTTCACTAATGTTTTCTCCAGCCTCTTTCCTTGATGTCCATAATTCTGTGGTTTTGTCCTACAGAGATTCTTGACCCTGTACTGCTTTGTGCTAATTATTTTTTTTCTTATTCTTATTTATATAAGGAGAGCTGAATGAGTGGCAGGAAGCTGCGAAATCTATCTTACAAAAAGGTGATGGTGGAAGAATCTAGAATCTTCATTTACTTTGCAGCAGGATTGCAGAAAAACTACCGCGAATAAGCATTTCACTGATTCATTCTTTCTTCTTCTCTTTAGGCTGTGAGGAGGCAAAAGTTGCTTGAACAGAGCATCCAGTCTGCCCAGGAGATCGAAAAATCCTTGCACTTAATTCAGGAGTCCCTCTCATCCATTGACAAGCAGTTGGCAGCTTATATTGCTGACAAAGTGGACGCAGCTCAAATGCCTCAGGAAGCTCAGGCGAGTAGATGGGGAATGAGCTACTGTTTTTCGGTGTATTATCTGAACGAGACATTGCTGAATTTCTGAGTTAAATTTTATTCAGCTAGTTTTCCTGAGGGTTATTTCATTGGCTGATTTGAGTATCTGGAGGCAAGAGGAAAAAAGAGCTCTAGGTTAGTACTCTAAGCTTTATTTTTGAAAATACGTATGGCAGAATTTAGAATAGAGATACTTAAAAGATAGGGACATATCATATGGAACTCTGCTGTTTGTCAATATTTTCAAACTAAAGTGAGAGGGAAGCCTTAGGAATATAAACTGTAAAGAAATTAGTTTTCGAGGTACCTCTAAAAATACAGCCTCAAAAATGCATTCTCAAATATTTTATTATCATCTCATTTTGTTGTCTTGGAATCACAGGTCATAAGATCTCTATATTCTACATTTAGTGTATTGTAAGTAGTTAATAGCAAAAAGTTTGAGATACAAATTTTCATTTAATTACTAATAATCATACCATATACACTCACATGTACTCACACATTCCACTCTGTTCAATCAGACTTGTAAAATGTACCAAGCCAGATTTTCTAGAATTAGAGTTAAAATAGTAATAGAAATAAATCTAAGATCCCTTTATGATGAATACATTTATGCTATATCTAAATTAACCTTTACCTTGGGAAGTATTTCTTAAAAGCTGCATTTATATTTTTAAATAATATTTAAATGTATATAAAGTATCATAGGTATTATTTATTTCAATATCTTTGAGATTTTCTGGTAGTAATGTAGCTGCTTTTCAGATCTTAGGTACATTATGAGCCTAACAGCCAAGGATAACTCAGACCAGTGTGTTGGGATATGAGGGTCATCAGAAGGTTATATACCCATCCCAAAGGTCCTCTCCCCACTAATTGGTGGAGATGCCTTGAGTGTTTTCATTTTGAATTTTTGGTTTAAGTATTGGATTTATAGGTCATGGTGACAGTAAAGTTACGGTGCACTGAATCATAGGCAAATTGGTGTCCAGAGCATCGTGAACAGAGTAGCATGAGAGAGTCTACCATATTGTCAAAATTTGACCAAGCAAGTCCCTGAGAATATGGGGCAGAGGACAGGTGATTTTGATAGACTCACCAAGCACAGGGCAGGGGGGTTCCTCATTGCAACAGGGGAGGAAATAAATGCAGTTTGGGGGGGAATCCTATTGACAGAGTCCTCGTGATACTTTTTCACGGGGACAAGTATAAATAGTAAATGGGAGATAATAGCAAACGCCCTTGAGGATTCTAAACTCCCTGGTATATGCATTTTTTCAAGCTTATATAAGTACGTCCAGCTATCTGTCATTAACTATTTGTAAGACTGTCCCAATCTGAGTCATGTAGAACATTTTATAGGCAGACTTTAGAAAAATGCATGACAGGGGGCACCTGGGTGGCTCAGTCGGTTAAGCGTCCGACTTCGGCTCAGGTCATGATCTCACGGTTCATGGGTTCAAGTCCCGCCTCGGGCTCTGTGCTGATGGCTAGCTCGGAGCCTGGAGCCTGTTTCTGATCCTGTGTCTCCCTCTCTCTCTGACCCTCCCCTGCTCATGCTGTCTCTCTCTCTCTGTCTCTCTCTCAGAAATAAATAAAACACTCTTTCTCATTGCTATGTAGTATTCCATTGTATAAAAAAAAAAATAAAGTAAAACAAAAATGCATTACAGGAGGGGCACCTGGGTGGCTCAGTCGATTAAGCATCTGACTTCATCTCAGGTCATGATCTCACAGTCTGTGGGTTCAAGCCCCGCATCTGGCTCTGTGCTGACGGCTCGGAGCCTAGAGCCTGCTTCAGATTCTGTGTCTCCCTCTCTCTCTGCCCCTCTCCACTTGCACTCTGTCTCTCTCTCTCTCAAAAATAAATAAACATAAAAAAAATAAAAGAAAAATGCATGACAGGAATGAGAAATTGTTACTGAGTCAGGAAGGACTACATCACTATAAACTGAAAGCAGAATAGAATTGATTCTTTTTTAATTTAGTGACATAAACTTGGAGGAATGTTTGATTAAAGAGTGCTCATAAATTTCTGAATATAATTGTGGGAAATTTTGAACAGTATAAATATTAAATATTAAAATTGAATATTTGTACTATAAAATAAATAGGTTTTTAAGGATTACAGAATGGAAGTCTGAGTAGCAAACTTGACATATGCTATAGTTATTACTATATTAGAAACAAATGGGAGCTTTTAGGAAAAAAGAACTTGTTTAGTTGAAAAGGTTGTGGATCCCGAGTGTTTTACTTAGATGTATCTCCAGGACCCCATAAACATGAATATAACATATTATTAGTCTTTAATACCATAATAGAAAGTGTTTTGTTTGGTTTTCCCCAATAAAAAAGTTATAGTAAAAATATTTTTAATTATCACAGTTCGAAGTACTTGCAAATAACAGCACGCATGTCAACTAAGGAATTTCAGATCTACTTGAGAAAAGGGATTTTAGAGCACTAGCAAGCTCAAATTTGTTTTCCTTGCATTTCTGGTTGCACCTGCATTTTCAAGATAATTCTCGACTTTGAATTCCCCAACTAGTAATATATAAAGTTGGAAAATGCAAGCCACCCGAAAGCTATTGAAACATTCTTCTCCCAGATTTTCTTTTAAGATGACAGCTAGTGAATTGTTTTCTGGAACAGTTATTAGGTACTAAGATCTACTTCAAGGATTGCATTTCCTGAAGCTTGAATTGAAACTCTCTTCAAAGAAACAAGTAGAGAGTAAAGACGTTGTCTGTGAAATAAGAACATAAGCAGAGTTTGTCAGACAAAGAAGCCCCTAATAATGCCACCAAAATGACACTTTTCCGAGTGTATATCATGGAGGCTAATTTTAATGGTGTGAATACACACCATTAGAAAACAACTTGTTTCTTTAAATTTTCCGTCAGACTTCATTGCTAATTAAAAGATTCGGTGGGGGGTGCCTGGGTGGCTCAGTCAGTTAAGCATCTGACTTTGGCTCAGGTCATGATCTCCCAGTTCTTGGTTTGAGCCCTACATTGGGTTCTGTGCTACCAGCTCACAGGCTGGAGCCTGCTTTTGATGCTGTGTCTCCCTCTCTCTTTCTGCACCTACTTGTGTGCGCTCTCTCTCTCTAATTTTTAAAAATATTTTATTTATTTCTGAGAGAGAGAGAGAGAGAGAGAGAGAGGCAGTGTGAGCAGTGGAGGGTCAGAGAGAGAGGGAGATACAGGATCCGAAGCAGGGTCCAGGCTCTGAACTAGCTGTCAGCACAGAGCCTGACGCAGGGCTCAATCCCATGAACCGTGAGATCATGACCTGAGCCAAAGTCGGATGCTTAACTGACTGAGCCACCCAGGCGCCCCTGCTCTCTCTCTCAAAACAAACAAACAAACAAACAAACATACATACATACATACATTTAAAATTTTTTTTAAAATGATTTGGTGGACTTAGCTTTCCCATTTTGGGAATCAGCACGTGTTTTAGTCTATCACTGAGAAGCCAGACAAAATGAATGCCATTACCATATTTGGTCATCTTAAATAACGGGTTCTGATTTCCTGTCATACACTGGCCACATAGATTTGTGGATGTCTGACTCCACCGTGTGGTGCAGTGATAGTTTTGCTACCAAATTTAATTCTGTTCTTCGAGCCTTCTTTTTCTGCCTTTTTAGATTGAGATTCTCAAGTATAACAAATTCCCAGTATTAAGGACATCCATGTAATGCATATACTTTCTAACAGGTATACTCTTATTATTTATAAAAGTAGATATAAATCAGAATAGGTCCTTGCATTCCATTTCCAGTTGTAACTATAGTGCAGAAATGAGCTCCCCTCCCCCCACCCCTTGCCTCAGCAAGTTAATTGATCAGTCATGATTACCAAATTGGGCCTACTGATTCTAAATTGGATTAACAATATTTACTGTTTCATTTAGTGGCATGAACTCACATGAGTAAAGCTTAACCTTTTAGACACTAAGACTACATACTGCAAGGATATCACAGCTTGCAGTGACCCAAGCATTTCATTTCAAACAATAACACTTAAACACACCCAAATCTTAAATAGTAGAACCGCAGCATCAACTGCCCAATGCCAGACCATTTAAAGAGACATTTTTATTCAAGTACAAAATTAAGAAGACATCTTATTGATTCAAACAGAATAAAGCAGATGGGGAGAATTCTTCTAGATAGATTTATATTCTAGATACAGAAATTGGAAACTTAAAGAAATATTTGAAAAATAGTATGATTAAAATATAAAAAACAAGGAGAATATCCTCAAAAATTTTTGCCATTTTACAGAATAAAATCATTGAATTATATAACTACAAAGAAACACATAGCATGAATATAGTTATTTACTCCTTAATTTTCCTACACAACTTACCAAAACATGAACATTTAGTTTTAGGACCTATGATCTGGAAGAAAAATCACAGTTCCCAGGGGTGTCCCAGGCCAATCAGGTCAGAATCTATGAGTGGACTCAGCCATGGGAATTATTGGAAATTCTCCAGAGTATTCTCCCATGAAGCAAAGGTTAAGAACAGCTTGGAGAGTTCATTCTTGATAATGGCTGAGTTGCTCCACAGTCTTGTCTTTACACCACATTTCTGACTACCCATTCGTCGTTATTCACACGTATGGCATTGTCAGGATTTCAGTGGGAGGGGGTTGGGGTGACTTTATTTAGTTTTGACTGTCCCTTTATTCTTACGAGAAATGGATGAAAGTGGAAAACACAGGTGAGAATTCTTGCAGAAATTAATTAATTCCAACAAATAGAATTTTCACTGTGGATGTTTGAAAATGAATTTGGCTTGGTTTTCTTATTTTCTTCCCCCTCCAATTCCATTTATGTTAATGTGCCAATTAGCTTGGATGTGCCTCTCAATTCTTGTAGGAAGCACAAGAGTCTTGTCTAAATAACTGCTTTAATATCTGTAATTCATAAAATTATGAAGATATTTCAGTCTGTATTTTTA